TCAAATTTATTTTACTCAAATCAATAGATCATTAATATTATTCTTCATTTCTACCCGCATAGGAACACATCTTAAAATCAACAAAATTTGCAAAAACCTAACTGATATATATATATATATATGCATCATACATGAAATTTATGTTTTTTTTTTTTGGAACATTGAGGGTGAGACTTGAATCCCATAGTTGTCAAATTTTACATAAGAAGTCCTTTACAATGAGAATGTGGTCACTAGACCACAAGTACATTCTCAAGAAATTGTATGTGTTTTTTAAAAGTCATGCCACATCACATCATCTAAAATGGGACCATGTGTTGACACTATCATTGGTGAGTAAACAGGGTCTTGAGAAGAAACTCAAAAAACTAATGTGTTCTTGTGTCAGCTTTTAAATTTTAAGTGGTTTAATTTAACCAAATTGTAAGAAGGTTGATTTAATTCAAAATCAAATAATGAGAATTGATTAATTACAAGAAAAAGTAAAATGGGTAATTTCAATAAGTCATAAACTAAGATTCTCAGAGTGAATCTAATTTCAACCCGTAAACTTTTCCAAGCATATGCACAGGTCAGATACAATGATCTTCTGTACTAAGATCAAGCCTGTCTTATATAATCTGCTATAGCAACTTTTAGCATTTCCCAGGTTTCTAAAATAACACACCACAGTAATCAAGCAATACAATACATGCTCCCAACCAGAATAAGATAAGTGAGCTGAAAATAAATAAAAGAACTGTGTGTTGACAAGAGATAAAAGGAAAATCCACTTGTTTCACATAATCCAATTGTGTGTGCACCGAGGGAATGATCAGATAGAGCTAGTACATGATATGCCATCATCTAGGCAATCAAACCAATAGGGAAACATATCATAATCATCACTTCAGTCTCCAACTAGGCAACTCCAGAATTTTGATGCGAATTTCACATCAAAATTTCACTTCAAACATAAACTAGTTTGGATCCATCCGTTAGTAGTATATGATATGTACTAACATATGTAATTATTAAGACTTAAAGATTAATACATAAATACACACACAATGACACCAGAAACTGACAATAAACAGGACTACTCAAACTTCAGACATAAACTAGTTTGGATCCATCCGTTAGTAGTATATGATATGTACTAACATATGTAATTATTAAGACTTAAAGATTAATACATAAATACACAAACAATGACACCAGAAACTGACAATAAACAGGACTACTCAAACAGGACCTCTGATATATACCGAGAATAAGCAGAAACCACAACAAAAAACAGAATGCTAAAAAGTAAGGAGAATGATCAGATAGAGCTAATACATATTGATGCCATCATCCCGGCAATCAAACCAATAGGGAAAAATATCAATCATCACCTCATTCTCCACCAGATTAAAGAACAGAGCTTTACCATGCAACACAGCCAAAAGATCAAAATTTTGAACTTAAAATGTAAACACACGGATCAATAAAAGAATACCCAGTTGCGAATTTGTCTAAGAAAAAACAGTTTTCAGAATAGAAAAACAGAATGTTAAAACTAAGGGAGAATGATCAGCTAGACCTAATACATTATTGATGCCATCATCCCAGCGATCAAACCAATAGGGAAACATATCAATAATCATCATCTCAGTCTCCACCAGCTTAAAGAACCGACCTTTACATTGCAACACGGTAAAAAAAGATTGAATTTTGAAGTTAAAATATGAACATATAGATTCGATAAAAAGTATACCCAGTTGAATATTTTGCGTGAGGAAAAATGCAACTGAGCGGAGATTGACGAGAAAAGCCAAGAGGCGGCCGCTGGATTAATGGGATGGGAGCTGGGGAATGGACTGCAAAACCCTAGAGGGAGGGGTTTATACGGAGAAAGAAGGGTCTTACTCTGACTAATGTAAATATCAGAAAGGTCCTTAATATTCATGGAAATATGAATGATCTCCACTTCTTATTATTGTTTTCACACTTTTAACCTTACTATTTTTCTTTTTGGCTAAAAGAAAAAAAAATGATGTTCAAGTCCAAATTATATTATCTACAAAATTTAAATTATTATATAAGGGACTTGTCCTCCATATTTAGGAATTATATTAAATTTTAACTAATTTGAAATCAAGTTATGTTAAATTTCATAAAAATAAAATTCTCTCAACGTTTGTTTCTTCATTCATAAAATTTAAATTCAAAATTTTATTTAATAAAAATGAAACTTCTTTTACCTAAATTAACAAAGCATTAATATTTTTATTTTATAATTATGTGCCATCAAAATTGTAAAAGAAATTTTTTAATCTGCATCCTAAAAATATATGAAATACATTTTTTGTTATAAATATATATAAAAATATACAAAGCGTTAATATTTTTATTTTATAATTATGTGCCATCAAAATTGTAAAAGAAATTTTTTAATCTGCATCCTAAAAATATATTAAATACATTTTTTTGTTATAAATATATAAAAAATATAAAAGGTGATATTAATTTTAGTGTCAAGTAAATTTAATTGAATAGTTAATAAATTAAAATTTGATTTTTATTTTTAATATAAATTTATAATAAAAAATATATTTAATATACTTTTAATATGTACCTAAAAATATATGTTAAACAAATTCATTATAAAATTATGGCAGAATACCCAAATCCACCCCCAAAGTATAGTTGCAGGGAGGGATCCACCCTCGAACAAAAAACAGGGACAAATCCACCCAAAAAGTTTTCGACTTAGACAAATCACCCCAAATTTAACGTGTGATGTCATTTGACATTAGCAATCTGTTAATTTGATGTCATCTGACGTCAGCAATCTGTTAATGAATTAACGAATTACTGATGTCAAATGACATCACACATTAAATTTGGGGTAATTTGTCCAAGTCGAAAACTTTGTGGGTGGATTTGTCCCCGTTTTTTGTTCGATGGTGAATCCGTCCCTGCCACTATACTTTGGGGGTGGATTTGGGTATTTTGCCTAAAATTATCGACCTAGAGAAAGTTAACGCTAATCGGTTGGGCTATGGCCCGAAAGGTATGTACAAAGTAGGGCTAGGCGCGGTTCAATTTCGGTTTAATTGAAATCAAATTTTCAACTATCTTTTTTTTACTAACCGAAATTGAACCAAATTCTTCATGGATTTTTTGGTTTGATAACCAAAATAATTGGTTTTAATATTTTGGTCATCAGT